ACCAAGGGTCGGCAACTGGCGGACCGCGGTCCAGGTCCGGACCGCGGAAGGTAAAATACTGGACCGCCAAAAATTTTTTGAAAGTATAAATTACTCAAATAAATTATTTAAAAAATGTTTTTTACGTTTAAGTGCCAATGTTATCATTTTTTCTAGTATTTTACAACTGTGTGAGTGTTTTGAGTTCTTAATGGTTAGTAAGCAGATTAAATTTGAGTCCAAATTAAAATAAAAAATAAGAAATATGAATTTTTTTCTGGACCTCGTTAAAAACCTAAACCTAAAATTACTTGCCGACTCCTGGTCAATACTTTATTACAAGTGAGGTAGTTTTAAGGAAATCTTTCATCATTTTGGTAGAATTTGTAATTTATTCAAGTATTTAATTAAAAACGTTGGCCGGCCGAACTATTATGAGCCTGGGCTCGTAAACAGATATATGTACATTTTGAAAACGTAAAAAAAATTTAAATTTTGAAAATTCTAACTGTATAACCCTTAAAACTGAAACGGAAGTACATTTCCGAAAAAATTACATATTGAGAAAGGTACATCAAACACTATTTTTCAACATAATCGCCTTCAACCTCAACTTTGTGAGCCGAGGGATGACCTTTCTGCTGGTATTTTTTAAAAAAATCTCCCGCCACCTCTCGTGCCCATTGTGTCATCATATTGTGGGCCATGTGATTAAATTTTAACTGAATATGTATAATTTTTCAGGACTTAGAAGGTCCGGGCGAGAAAGGAAAGCTGTTCAGAGACATTTCACTGGCGTAATTGCAACCCGCAGTGAGAAGATCTTGCAGTGTAAGTACATATATTTTTACATTTGTATTTGAGTATTTTGAGCCATATGTATGAGGCATTCCATGCCAAATTTGTCAAATGTTCTAGAAATTGATTTTTTTCTATTTCGTTGTTAACCTATGCTCCTACTAAATACGAACGGTCAAAAATATAACAAGTATTATGGCTTTATGCAAAACAAACTTTTTGATATTGAAAAAACAATCGGAATAATTTGTTAATAATAATTTAGATATTTGGTAATGACAATGTTAGTAGAAGTAGTTTTAAAAATATGGTATTTTTAGTAATTAGTCATCGCGATTTGCTTTTGTCATAAAATTTAGTTGAATAGCCTACATTAACTGTAAAAAATTGAGATACAAAAGAAATTAATTAAAACAAAATAGAATAAAAAACGATCCCCTTTAGAACCCGTCTCATAAACTTGCATATTGAAAGATGATTCTTTTGAGAATTTCTCAAAAATATACACCACTCCATTTCAAAAAGCGCTTTTTTCATTTAAAAATTAAAAAAACACAAAAACCAATAAATGTATTAANACTTCTGTACGTGTTTTATCACAAATGGTGGGAGTATCAGTCGGTACCTGCCACACAGTGTTAAAAAAAGATTTGCGTTTGTTCTCCTATCGTTTAACTTGTCAGCAAGAACTTCATGAAGTTGATTTTCCGCGACGGGCTGTATTTTGTGAATGGTTTTTAAACAACTACGGTAAACTTGATAATATCACCTTTTTTTCTGATGAAGCCTGGTTTCATTTAAGTGGTAACGTAAACTCACAGAATATGAGAATGTGGTCTTCTGAAAAACCAGATAACTTTTTTGTCGAGGGCCCTCTACACGCTCAAAAAATTGGAGTTTGGTGTGCTCTCAATCGAAGGAGGATTTATGGACCTATTTTTTTTAATGGTACTCTTACTGCGCAAAGGTATAGAGAAGAAATTATCGCTCCTTTTGTTAACCAGCTGGAAGAAAACGAAATTACAAACTTTTACTTTCAACAAGATGGCGCAAGGGCACATACGGCAGGCGAGACGATGAATATGTTGAGGGAAGTTTTCCAAAATCGACTAATAAGTCTCAATGCTGAACATGAATTTCCACCGAGGTCATGTGATATTACGCCGTGTGATTTCTTTTTGTGGCCTTACCTTAAAAACACTATTTTTGAACTGCCTATTCCTGATTTAAACCATCTGCAGGCTCGACTTATAGACAAGATTCGTGAAATTAACAATACCCCGAGCATCTTAGAAAATGTCTTTAATTCTTTGAGGAACAGGTGTGAAAAGTGCTTGGAACAAGGAGGGGGACACTTTCAGCAGCTGCTTTAATTTATTGTTATAACAAGGAGGGGGACACTTTCCGCAGCTCCTTTAATTGTTTGTTATTGTTATCACGATTATTCTTTAAAATAAAGTTATATAGTCATTAACGTTATTGAAACTGACAGCTGCTATACAGCTCGTTGAGAAATGAGGTTAAGTTGGTCGCTATAAGCTACTCCCTACGTCCAATGTGTCAGAGCCAACTTCGACCACGTTTTTATTTGAACGCTCGTTATAAGGCTAAATATTTGTATATTTTTTTTAGTTTATAATAGATTGCCTACAGTAACAAAACCTATAGGTAAGTGAAATTCATTTTTTGCCATTATTGTGTGTTATATTGGTTTTTAGAGGGGGCATTTTAAACTGGAGTTTTCCTTTTAACAGGACATAGAATTTAAAAATTAACACTTTTTCAAAAACAATTTTTTAGTTCTAAATGTTTAAATATTACTACGAAATTACTTACCATATTACAAACACCTTCTTGCAACAGGTAAACTGAAAATTGAAGTAAATGTAATAAAATGCATCGCTGGCAAATTTGGCCAGTTAAGGTTGGTCTTTTGTTTTTTGCTGCCTAGCACTGTGTCATATTGTCGTAGACCTGAGGGAGGCAGATTCTAAAATAAAATAGTATTTTTTAAATTTTTATTGAAGTATCGGGACACATGTTTATAATCCCCAAATTCTGGGATATCATTGGTTAGGGATTTGAGTGACCCTCATTGGTCCAAAGCCAAAATCGTCGACCAACCCCCAGAAAACTGTTAATTTGCGACGCGATTCTTTTTTTACATAGGTTCTGAATTTAGTGAGTTCAGTTCAACTCCATACATTCTCTATCGGAGTCTAGTCAAGTTCTTTTTCTAAATTCAGTTCCCTCCACTTAGCTTAGTGTTTAAGTGCCTTCGGAAAGTCTCCATCACACGCAGTAGTTGTTTTGACTAGATGGTTTACCACAGTATAGATTTTAAATTTTCAACGGTCTCAATTTATTTTATTTTTTCACCAACCATTCGAATAAACTTTCAGGTACATTTTGCATGGAATTCTGATTATCATACATATATTTTTTAGTATTTTTTTTTTTCAAAATTGTTTAGTTATAGCCTAGTTCACTTTATCGTAGTTCTGTGTGTATACAGGGTGCCCCAGAATAACGTGTACAACCGGAGACCACAGATTCGTGGACTCAAAATAGGCAAATTTATGATAATTCACCTATATCCAAAATCACTTCATTTGACCGCTAGATGGCGGTCAAATGAAGTGATTTTGGTAGATAGAATTTTGTAAACTCAAGTATGTATTAATCAATTATGATTATTTTGGGGGTGTGAAATTTTGCTTTCAATCTACAAATTTTGATGTTATACAGTGTTTTTTAAAACTTACAACTCCTACAAAATTGATGTATGATGATAATATCCATTCATAACTTTTTCCTCTTTTGGGCAATAATGGTAACTATTTTTTGTTTGATAAGTGATATCATTTGGAAGTTTTTGGGCCTCTTGTAGAATTTTTTTTAAATGAGCGGTTTGGGTACAAAAAATATTTTTTAAATGTGTATATTATCTTACCATCCATATTACAATACTGAGTACTAGTAGGCTCTGATTTTGTAGGTTGATTGTAATTTCAATTTGATCTCTAATAGCTGTTTTACATTGACAATTTATTGATGAATTTATTCATCAAGTTCTTGACGAATTAGAGCATGTTCTAATTTTCGTCAATTTCTTTGTGAAGTTCGGAAGTACCAACCCAACAGATTTCCAGCCAGTAATGAGGTTATGTTATTGGAATATGTAAATAATTGTGTGGCGTCGTACTAGTTTTGCATTCTTTTTACTGATTTGTTATTTACAAACACTAATATTTATATACTATGTGTCAAAACGGTACCGTTGTTGTATCACTACACTTATGAGTGGAAAGGTGACATTTTTGAAATTTATTTGCTTTTTTGATTCGTTGGTAGAACTGATTCAAGCGTCAAAAAACTTGATAAAGTTTGTAGCAGTGTAAAACCACACTGTTTACCAATAAATTCGTGAATTAATTCATGAAAAACTTCGTCAATTTATTCATCAATAAATTGTTAATGTAAAACAGCTATTAGTCATTGTACCTGTCAATTCTTAATGAGTGTTTACTATGATAAAATATACCACATGTTATATCATTTTTTGATATTGATACACACATACGACAAATTAGTTATTTACAACATGCCTAATTTTATTCAAATAATTCGTAAAAACAATCAAATACAATACAACATACACAATACAATATACACTATGTTTAGCTCTTAACCTTTTTGGATAGAACGAGGCCCACATGAAATAAAAATAAGTTTCTGGTTTGGTGGAGTGAAACAAGAAGTCTAACCGAATCATACCCGCAAAATTATCAACCCTAAAACTAAAAAAACCCATTTTTCTAAAAGAGAACATGGCGCCCAACGAGGGGCCACGCCTGGACGAGAACAATATCGCATCAGGTGGATTGACATTACGTAAATTCCATAAAAGTCATATTAGCTTTTGGGAATACCTTTATTACCTTCCAAAAAAAATTTAACAGGAACGTATTTGAATTATTTTAAGAGGGTCTTCTATTATTCTTAAGATTTTGAAAAAATGTTATTTGAATCATTTGTTTATTTTGTTGAGTTCTGTGGTTAAAAGGAAAATCCCAACTAAAAAAAAACTGTGTTGCAAAATACATATCATTATGGTAGTGTTTAAAACATATTTTTTAAAATTGTAGTTAGGAAGTCTACTAAAGCGAGAACTAAGAAGACGGTCAAAGAAGCAAATAATGAGGTCACGAAGGAAACAGTACCAAAAAAGAAGGGCCAAAGAAAGAGAAAGGGCTTGAACAATAATGAGCCACAAGACGAAAAAGTACAAGAATCTAATAGAAGCGTTTCGGATGCTTTACACGGAGCTGACAACCGAAGTTCCAGCCAGTTAGAGACACATGCTACAGTTATTAATGAAGTTTATAGCAGAACAGCGAGTTGTTCCAACACAGTGACTCGAAAGTCAAGAAGGCCCCATTGCGACACCAGCACACATGATATGCCCCAAGATGTTATATCTAATAAAAGAAGCAAAATACTACACAGTAATCGGAATTTTGAAGCTGCCAACGCGGACAAATGTGGAGTCTCATCAAATAACGGCACCAATGATTCTGAATTCGTAAATTTTAACGGGAACACCAATGCTGGTGAAATGGACTGTAACACAAATGGTAACAGTGGAAGCAACAGTGTCGAGGACAACTTTAATGATGTGCCGTCTCAGTCACATGTCGCACCGAACGGAGATTTTGTACCTCAAGACAATTTACATGGCGTCGAAGAGTTCACTACTGTTAATAAAGTGGTAGAAAAGGATTCTGGCAGGTCCACTATGTTGAAGAGCACTAGTTTTGAAGAGAGTAACGCATGGATTAGTAGACCGTTGACGGGTAGAATAACTAAGAACTATAAGAAAAATAGTAACGTGTGCACGAAAATATCAAAAGTGCTTTCCAGAAGTATGAATATTTCTAGAGAACAAGAAATTGTAAATGATAATCAACTGATTACGGTGGATTCATTTTCGGTGGCAAATAATGATGCCGATATTAGATCGAGGGGAACCTCGATATCACAGTTAAGACAATCGGATAACCAATATATTAATTTATTTACAAATGGTAATCTTGTCAGTATGAGTGAGTATACAAGTTTTTTCTTTATTTAAAATATAATTATAATACCTTTGAAAGTAGAACACAAGTAACAATGAATACTTAATTACGGGGCGACAGAAAATTACAGGCAAATAAATTGAGTAAAAAAAATACCAGTATGAGTTGTTATAACACTTTCGGAAACTCAATATTAACTGTTACAAAAACCTAAACTTTTTTATTTATGAATATATTTCCAATTTTTTTCCATTAAGTCTCACGATCGTGTTTGTATGTTTCATATTAAAAGAACTGAAAATAGAGCTATTTTAAATCAAATATATCTTTTTAAAATAGTGGGAATAAAATTTCAGGCAGCGTTGGCCAAAGGACAGGCAACAAAGTGAAAAGGAGCAAATATTTGAGTTTTGGGTACCATTTTGGCATATTTTAAAACAAATGACTTTTTATTTTGAATTGCTGAAGCAGAATAATTTTCCACTTTTTTTCAAATGTTAAAATCTTTATTTTTTTTTGTAGAAGCGAGTATTTTTTCATATCGGTCAATACATGAAATAATTTTGAACAGTAGTTGATAATAACCCAAAATTTTTATATAAAATGGTACAGACGATTAAATATTAAAAAATGTAAGTAATGCGGCGTATTTAGAAACCTCAAAGTGGCATTCTCACATATCCACAAATATTTAAATTTTTTTTAGTCATTTGAAAGTTAAATTAATGTTGGCATCAAAGTAAAATTTAAACAACACAAAGAATATTTTATTTAGAGAATAAAAAAAATACCAGTTTGTTTCTATCGGTTGATAATGGCCATTAATTATTTATATATTTTGCTCATAGATTCTAAATACAGGGTGTCTCACGGTGACGGTCCATTAGAATTATTTCAGAGACTACTTCGATTTGAATTTTGAAAATTTGGGATACCGGGTTTTCGGGCATGCCCTTCTCAACTAAAATAACGGCGTCCACATACCACTTCCGGTTATACTGGAAGTCACCATCAAATTGCTTATTTTAACACCCTATATTTTATTGCAATTTTGGATTCAAACTTGTTATTTTAGGTGGACTTTTATGAAGTTTCCCTATTCTTAAAATTAACCGTTTTCGAGATATTTAGTTTTAACAGTGACTGGCTTCAAACCATGTGTATTTTATAGTAAGAAAGATAAAACAACGATATTTATAGGGGGGATAGTTAGACCTCTAAGCTTCCCATCCATACTTTCAAAGTCGCTTAATTGCATACAGGGTGCTCGAAATTTAGTGCCGAGTTTTTTTTTTTTTTTAACTTCAAACCTTCATAAGCCGATTTTTTTTTTAAATGGAACACCCTGTATGTTTTTCTATATTCTGACACACAATCTTCTCTTTCGAACGGTATCAGGATTCCCTATACCTATCTCTTCTAGTTTTTAAGTTTATTTTTTGAGTAATCAACTAAAATCATGTAATTTCTTGCGAGGATACCTGTTGAATTTTTAGCAAAACTTCTAAACAAACAACTAAACTGTCAATTTGTTGTTAGTCTCTTGCAGTGACAGTTTAATTTAGTGTTTATAAGAAATGGAAAATAATACATATTCAAATGCTGAATTTTTAAATTTATTATTCATTCATGGACGTTGCAATGGGATTATAAGCAGAACATGCACAGTTTTTAATGAGACATATCCAAATTTGCCACCAATGAGCAGAAAAAAGTTAAGAAGAATTTTAGCAAATCAACTAGAGTATGGTCGAATTTGTGCAGAAGGAATTTTACCAAAACCAATAACTTCAAATGAAGATAATGTAATAAATGTGCTAGCCTATTTTAGTATTCATCCAGAATCCTCAATAGGTGCCGCAGAGTATGATTTTGGCATTTCACGAGCGTCCATTCGCATGATGCTAAGAACTAATGATATGCATCCATACAAATTTAAGCTACTTTCTGCTCTTCATCCAGGTGACGCCATGCAATATGTACAATTTTGTGAAACAATGTCGGTGCGATACCAAGAAGATTCACAATTTCTGCAACATATTATATGGACAGACAAGTCAAAATTTACGAGGGAAGGTATTTTTAATAGACATAATACTCATTTGTGGTCATATGAAAATCCTCATTTTATCTGGGAAAGAAACTTTCCAAAATAAATTTAGTGTAAATGTTTTTTGTCTAATTAAAGATAACCAAATTTCTTATCATATCTATGAAGAAAATTTAAATGCCGATATCTCAATATTTTGCAAACGGTTTTGGCAGATTTTCTAGATGATATACCTTTAAACCAACTAAGGAAGTGTTGGTATCAATTAGACGGGGCTCCACCTCACTGTCACAATCAAATCGATCAACAGCTGACTGAAATGTTTGAAGATAGATGGATGAGACGCCTAGGACCGTGGAATTGGCCAGTGAGGTTTCCCGACCTCACTCCATTAGATTTTTATGTTTGGGGAGTAATAAAGCAAAAAATTTATTCTACACCTGTTGCTTCAAAAGAGGATTTGATTGCTCGAATACGAAGAGCGTTCCATGAATTGCCGGCGGCTGAAATAGCTAAAGCGGTGACTGATGGTGTTATCTCTACAATCCACAAGTGCTTAGCTGTTAATGGGAGTCATATTGAACACTTTTGACTTTTGTAAGTAATTTTTTTTATCTTGGTGCATTATTATGATCAACATACATAATTAAAATTGTGGATTACTATGTATGAAGTTGATTTTTTAGAATTCTTAACTTTATTCTGCTCATTGCTGGAAAATTGGGATATGGTCTCATTAAAACCTGTAAATGTTCTGCTTATAATCCCATTTCAACGTCTGTGAATAAATAATAATAAATAACTGGTGACAGTTTAGTTGTTTGTTTTGAAGTTTTGCTAAAAATTCCGCAAGAAATTAAATGATTTTATGATTTTAGGTGACTACACAAAAAATTGTAGATAACTTAAAAATTAGAAGAGATAGTTATAGGGAACACTGATACCGTTCGAAAGAGAATAAAATTGTGTATCAGAATATAGAAAAACATGAAGGGTGTTCCATTTAAAAAAGCCGACTTATGAAGCTTTGAAGTTAATTAAACTCGGCATTAAATTTCTAGCACTCTGTATGCAATTAAGCCACTTTGAAAGTATGGATGGGAAGCTTGGGGGTCTAGCTATCCCCCATACAAGTATTGTTGCTCTATATTTCTTACTATAAAATACACATGGTTCAATCCATGTCACTGTTTCTCTCAATTTTTTGAAAAAAATTAAATATCTCGAAAATGATTAATTTTAGGAATAGGGAAACTTCATAAAAGTCCACCTAAAATAACAAGTAGAATCCAAAATAGCAATAATATATAGGGTGTTCCATTTAAAATAAGCAAGTTGATGGCGAAGAGTATGCCCGCAAACCCGGTGTCCCAAATTTTCAAAATTCAAATCGAAGTAGTCTGAAATAATTCTAATGGGCCGTCACTGTGAGACCCTGTATCTTGTGCTATTTATAAAAAAGTAAACTAATTTTCCAGAGTTTATTGAAAACGTGCCAAAGTATAAATTAGTGAAAGATAATTTAATGGTCTCAGATCTGGTGAGGAATGAGAAAGATGGAGGAACAATGGGCTATTTAAAAGTACCTCCACATGGCCAAAAGTCACTGCATATTGCTCGAAAATTTGCATTGGTAAGTGTATAAAGTGTACTACTATTTTTATTCTGTTAGAACCAAAACACTTATAGTCAACTATTACTTTAATTCACCATTTTTTGCCTCAATAAATTGGTCAAATTATATTGATTTTTGTAGATTGTGGTAAATTTTCTGGTCTCAGTAAATAAATTAGCCAAGAAATTAGAAGTTTTAATTTACTTGGGATTTCTAGTGACTTTATTCTATAGTGCCAATTTTGGTTACATTTTAGAAATTTGAAATTTTATAATAAATATTTGATGAATGTGTTTCTTACTATAATTATTGTATTAATCTGCAAGTTATGAGTCGATATGGTTTGTTGCTATAATAGTTCTTAAAAGTTGGTAGCCTTGGTAAATAAATTGGATAATTTTTTAGCTTTGTTCGCAGGAGTGGTCTTGGACTAAATTGTCCTGAACTAGTCTGAGATTACTACTATGAATCAAGTTAGTATAAGTAAAATTATAACACAAAATAGTGCCACAAATGTAGTGAAGTGTAATAATTTCTAGACCAATGTATTGGGTTTAAATGTAAAATACATTTCACAATTCTCTCTTGATCACAAATGTTCGTTATAAACAGCAAATGACAGTAACTTCACATATACATATTTGTCTTCATTTTCAGTTCTATTTTGTAATAGACGGAGAAGGATTCATCCAGGTTCACAATAAGAGTACCAAAGTCTGTAAACTGAGTTTTTTTATAGTACCTTTAGGTATGTTGATTAAATCTAATGCACTTGTTAGAATTATATAAACATATTTTCGTAGGTATTGAATATACTATCATCAATACAAGTAAAGAAAATCCGTTGGTTCTTGGTTTTGTCAAGATGCCTGTGTCCCTCTGAGGGACACTAATATAATGTATATATTTTTATTTACAGTTTTTCTAACGAATATTGTTACTATGTGCTATAGCATTTTATTAGTAATAATATATATATAGTTTAACATTGATGTTATTTTCATTTTTATGTTGCTAGGGACTAAGTATATTTTTTTAAGATTGTAATAATAAATTTATTTTAAATAAATGTATTTATTGTTTCTTTCTTCCACTCTTAAATAACCAGAATCAGTTACTAATTGCAATTATTTTGTAACACAAGATTCGTTTTAAGTTTAAGGTTAGATAAAACAGCTGATCCATTTAGTCCAAATTGTGTCGGGTAGTTGAAAGGATCACAACATGTGATTAGAATCTGATTAACCCTATCTATTTCCGCACAATTTTTAAGTTTAACCAGTTCCCTTTCCCGCTTTAGCATATAGCTTAACACAAATCGATAGTGTCAATACAGTCATAGAAAAATCTGCTTCCCTAATGTTTTACAGTGATAATTTATTGATGAATTAAATTATGAAGTCGCTTCATCGAGAAATTGGACAAGTGTAATGTACCAAATCTGCTGTCAAATAACTTTATGAATTTATTCATGAAGTATCAAGTTCTTGACGAATTAGAACATGTTCTAATTTTCGTCAATTTCTTCGTGAAGTTCAGAAGTACCAACCCAACAAATTTCCAGCCTCGGATGGGGTTCTGAGTTATTGGAATATGTAAATAATTGTGTGGCGTCGTACTAGTTTTGTATCCAAGTCCAGACGGTATCTGTTTCAAAAAGTCCACATTTGTGTGAATCGTATATCCACGGAGATTTTTGGCTTTTTGGCTTTCAAATATCACTAGAAATTAAAATTTTTCTATGCGCTTAACTTTTGGCGGCACAATATGTTATAAAAAATCGAAAAATGTCAAATTTTTCCTCATATTTAATTATGTATCTTTTCAAGAGTTGATTTTAGGTGAAAATGGACGAGGAAAACATGTTTATAATTAATTTTTTTACAAAATATGACCAGTTTCAAATCGAATGAATCATGACTATTATTGTAAAAATCGAAAAAATCGCCAAAAATGGGGTTAAAAAACATTACTTTTTAGGGAATTTTTTTGGAGTCTTTAAATGGGGTATTGGACCTTTATACTTGGCTCAAGAAAACTTCATGTTATGTAGAATCATATACTTATTATCTATATACTGGTAGCCGGCTATAATAATAAGAAGTGCATCTTATTTGTGGAAGGGCGAAATGGGTGTTGACTATTAGACGACTTCATTATAGCCATCCGTGTCTATCACATGGATTTCTATGGCTTAATTTATCGCTCTCACGTAACTTCTGATAGACCATCGGTACTTTCCTACACTGTAGATAGTATGTATATGTGTAGAATCATCACATCAAATTTCATCAAAATCGGTTGATAGATTTGGCATAATAATTTTGCAATCCACATTTTGAAAAAAAATTTACAAATTTTCAAAATTTTGCACAGCAAAAACCAAATCCCTTAGATACTTGAAAATTTAATCACATATAGAAGGGCTCACAAGCCTTCAAACACTTTTTGAAAAATTCTAATTCGAATTAGGAGAGCTCTGGCGCTTGTTTAAACATTGCCCTAATTTTTGTACTTATATTGGAATTTGGAATAATTTTGTGACTATTCAACCAAATCAAATTTTTTAAAATAGGTTTTAAAAGTTCTTGGAAAGACGCTACTTAAAAAAAAAACAGATCGATTGGTCAATTAATTACGTAGTTATAGCCGATCAAATTTAACCGTCATTTACACTAAATGTACTGTCATCCGGGCTAATTTTTCGAAAAATAATGGTATTCCGAGTACTTAGCAAGTCTAAGTTTGCAATTCTTTTCTTCATTGGCATCCTACTTTAAAACGTGTTTAAAGTTATTTATGCAAGCGAGAAATTCGAGAAAATCGTAAGGGTGGTGGTGGTGGACGAAGCTGAGAGCGCGGCCGCTTCGGCCTGCTCGAAATCGAATCGGCCAGTTCAATACCGTGACGCGCTTAAGGGCCCCATATTCTTTAAATAGTGTTTTCCGCAAAGACAAATAATTTCGAACATTTAATAACTGAATAATCTAAAGCTTATCAAATAATAGGAATGTTATGTTATGCCATCTGGGTATTTTCAAAGACGCCTCAGTAAAACGAATAAACAGGTGCAAAAAACGATCAAACCATCAAGGTTTTAGGTACTGAAATCTACGAAAATACTAACTTTTTTATATATAACTCCACATGTAAATATTCTTATAACATTTACTTGCTTAGTCCTATATATAAAATTGTTTACTTTTATTTATAAGTACGTGAAAATAATTCTTAAAATGTGGGGTTAGAATAACAGAAAACGCATGTTTTACAAACGCTTTTTTTAGTTATTATTTTATTTGGGTAAATTTAAATGGTAACAATGAATAAACAAAACATCAAGGATTTTATTTTTGAGCTTACTTTTGTTCTACACGTTTTACTTTTCAAGATTTCAGTACCTAAAAATGCCAGAAATTTCACCATTTCTCGGCCAGGGATATGGCCACCTTAAACATTTTTAGTATCTCAGCTTCCGATTTTGATGATTTTTTTTAAATCGATGTCTCGCGATTTAAAAAAAACAATTAACGTATTTTCAAATGCCTATCGTCAATAATTACACAGGCATACAAAAAAAAATGTCAAGACTCGGAGGGTTGACCCCCCTACCCCTCCGTTTTTGGGGTCGCTGAAACCGAATATGACCATAAAAAATAATTAACTCCCATAAAGTCGAATAGGGTGTGTATTCCCATGTTTTCTGGGCCACTAAGAACGAAGAAGACTACCAAAAATGAATTAGACCCCCTCGTTACCCCCTAGCGTCTCTTTACCATCCCCGTACACCCCTTTCTCGGAGTTGAAATATCAGTTCTCATACAAAGTCGAGTAGGGTGAGTTTTCCTTTGTTTTCTGGGCCACTAAGAATGAAGAAGTCTACTAAACATTAATAAGACCCCCACGTTACCCCCTAGCGATTTTTACAATAATAATCATGATTCATTGGATTTGCAACTAGTCATAATTTGTAAAAAATTTAATTACAAACATTTTTTTCTCTTCCATTTTCTCTTAAAATCAACTATTGAAAAGATACATAATTAAATAGGAAGAAAAATGTGACATTTTTCGAATTTTTTTAACATATTGTGCCGCCAAAAGTTAAGCCCACGTTTTGTTTATGCGCATAGAAAAATTTTCATTTTCGGTGATATTTGAAAGCCATAAAGGCAAAAATCTCCGTGGATATACGATTCACCCAAACCAAAACAGATACCGCCTAGTCTAATTGTTTTTATTGATTTGTTACTTACAAAAACTAATATTTATTGTATAATAGGTGTCAAAACGGCACCGCTGTTGTACATATCAATATTACTACAATTATGAGTGAAACGGTGACATTTTTGAAATTTATTTGCTTTGATTTGTTGGTAGAGCCTGCTGATCCCCTGCTGATTCGTGGTCAAAGAAATTCACGAATCACGAAGTCTGTACACAGCTAAAGCTGTAAAACAGCTATAAAACATTTAAGTGTTTGTTTACATCTTTATAATCTGTGTTTCTATTAGAATTAGAAAGCACAGATTATAAAGATAATTTCTATTGTTTATGAATTCGATATGAACATAATTACGTTATAGCTGCATTATTGTATCTGTATCAGTGAAATAATTTTCATCAGTTATCTTTAAATACTCAGTTCTCTTACAACGCATTTTATTTCTTTTAGGATATAAAACCTATGTTCATACAACTTTTTTTCATGTTTTGCCCAACAAAATTTTTATATAAAACCCTTCACTGCTATTGAACTAAAACTCTAAGTATTAAATTTAAAAAAAATTTTGGAGCCTAGCTCATGATTTAAATTAAAGTAATATAGTTGGTAACTGCAAAAAGTATTTAATTGCTTAAATCAAGATCAATCAATCAATCAAGAATTATAGTTGTAGTTGAAAAACATTTTTTATTGTCTACTTGCTTGAAGACTTAAATAATAAAACCTAAGTGATAACATCTATTAGGTAAAACTATGGTGTAGAAATAAACTCAAATGTTTTGTATACTATTTCAGTTTTACCAGGTATTTGCCAGCTGGAACAAAAATATAACAATTGTCGTGCCGAATGTAAATATCTGAAAATAAAAATTAATCACATTTAGAAAATAATGAATGTAAAATATAACTCACGTTAACTAATGCGTCCATTGTTAGTGGCATCATTTTGCAAATAGAGAAGTTAATTTTCTGATGGCATAGCTGCAGTAAGAAGGTATTTTTCTAAAAAAAAGAATAGTCTTCGGTCACTACTTGCCTAAATAACTATTTGCCACGTGTAAATAAATGCAGTATGAATATAGAGGATTGATTGGTTGAGAATGCAAATCTGTTCGTAGATTTGACACATAAATGTAAATGCCTTATTGTGTGGATGATGCATATCGATGAATTTGAAAGCCTGGCTTCCACATCGTTCATCAAATAATAAAAATGAGATATCTAATTTTATAGGTTTTACATGCCGATATTTCGACTGAATTACAACCTCTATTTGGTCTAGGATAGATGGGTGATTCAGAATGTATCCGAAAAATAATAGAAGTGTATACACAATATCAAAATTAGTACCGACTTCGTTATTCTTTATACAATACGAGAAAAATTTTTTAAAGTTACAAAATCATTGAGTATTACTTAATTGCATTGTATTTTAGATTAAAGTTTGTATAATGCAGTGCTGCCTATTTCTGAGCAAGATCAATTATTAATTGCTTAAATTAAATTGTTTTTGGTTAATTAGTGCAAATGTAATATACTGTGTTGTAGGTAATTTAGTATTTGTCTATGTTTACTTCTAATTTTTCGAATTTTTTAAACTGGCATATGAATTCAGCGATATTAATAAACAGAGCATGTATGTAAACTTCCCTTTGTAATATTAAAATACGGGGTAATTTCAAAAAGGGTAATTTTTAATATACAGGGTAGCCCATCGAAAACGTACCGCAAGGCATTACAGGGTAGTAAAGAACTTTTCGGCAAAATCCAAACACAGGTCAAATTTGTTTCTGAGGGGGACAACTTTTGGCTCAAAAAGCATACCAAAATCTTCAACCCCCTAAGTGGGGGTGCTATCCCCTAAATTTTTTCAAATGGGAATGGGGGTCAAGTGGGGGGTCATTAGAAAGGGCTTTTAATTCTCTATACATCGATTCTTACTTTTTGAAAATCGATTCATTATTTTAGAAAATATGCAGCTTTGAAAATACGAACAATATTTTTGACGAGAAATGCGAAAATCGATTTAATTTTACTTCAAAACTTACGGTATTAGTCAAGTAAATGCTGAAAATGTTGTCCGCCAACTTGCATACAATGATACAGGTTGTCTTCAAACCGTTGTCGAACATTCTGGAGCACTTGCGGTGTTACTTCGCGACATACATTAATGATTCGTCCTCGCAGATCTTCCAAGGTATCAGGTGGAGTGCTGTAAACTTTGCTTTTAATGTGCCCCCAGAGAAAGAAATCTAAAGGATTTAAGTCGGGTGACCGAGGGGGCCACTCAATTGCACCTCTTCGTCCTATCCAGCGTCCTGGAAACGTCTCATTTAGGTAATTGCGCACATTGAGCGAGTAATGTGGAGGAGCTCCGTCTTGCTGGAAAATCAGTTCGTGTTCATTGTAAGCAGGGTCGTCCTCTATGATATTTGTTAGAGCTGGGTCGATGACATTTTGTAGTAAATCCAAGTACATATCGCCTGTCAAATTTCCAGGAAGGAAAAAAGGACCTACAATGGAATTTCCAAAAATACCTGCCCATACATTCAACTTCTGGGGGTGTTGGGAGTGTGTCTCATGGAAAATCCTTGGATTGGTATCAGCCCAGTAACGACAATTATGGCGATTCACTAAACCATTCAAGAAGAACGTACACTCGTCCGAAAAACACACATTAAAGAGGAAATTATCGTTTATCGCTCGTTCAGTCATTATTTCGCAAAATTGCAAACGACGATCAAAATCGTCTTCATTTAGCTCTTGCACTAGCCGAATCTTATAAGGATGGAATTTGTATTTTTTTAATATTCGTTGGACACTTGTACGACTCACTCCTGTCGCAGTAGCCAATTGCATTGTACTCAGCGTACTATCCATTGCCACTTGCCCCAATACCGCTATTTCCGTAGGTTCATTTAGTACCGGATTTTCAACCTGCCTCTTTTTGTTATGAACGGAGCCAGTTTCGCGAAATTTGGCCACCAATTCGCGAACAATTTTTCCAGACGCATGTTTCTCAGGATGCCGTTGGTTGAACAGTTCGGCGACCCGATTTCCGCATTCATTGTTTTTGAAAAAAAGCTCAATAATTTCTACTCTTTCTGGAATTGAGTACACCATAATTAATCAATTTAAAAGACTCGGCAGTATTGGTACTCTTCAACTACAAGTCACAAGACAGTTATCTAGCAACTTCTTGTGGCCTATCTAAATACGAAACAAAAAGCGGACAATTTTTTGCTCACCAAAATCAGGCTAAAGAATTCGCAAATCAGAAAAAAAAACAGCGAATTCTTTTGAAGGAATTTACCAAGCTAATACCGTAAGTTTTGAAGTAAAATTAAATCGATTTTCGCATTTCTCGTCAAAAATATTGTTCGTATTTTCAAAGCTGCATATTTTCTAAAATAATGGATCAATTTTCAAAAAGTAAGAATCGATGTATAGAGAATTAAAAGCCCTCTCTAATGACCCCCCACTTGATCCCCATTCCCATTTAAAAAAATTTGGGGGATGGCATCTCCACTTAGGGGGTTGAAGATTTTGCTATGCTTATTGCGCCAAAAGTTGTCCCCCTCAAAAGTAAACTTCACCTGTTTTTGGATTTTGCCGAAACGTTCATTACTACTCTGTAATGCCTTGCGGTACGTTTTCAATGGGTTACCCTGTATGTATCTATATAGTATTAATACAATCAAATAAAGTTATTTCTGACGAACGCCTTTTATATTTCTTGGCTGTTTTAAAATTACAGAAGAAATTAATATTATTACATAAATTGCTCGTGTGCCGTTAAATTTGGAAAATAAGACTTGCTAAGAAACCGTATTTTGTTATGATAGGTTTACCAAGACCACTTTCCTATTTTGTTGCGCTATTGCTCGGTAGATATAAGTTCTTTCCTCAATCTAGTCTATTAGTTATCTACTGGTGTACAAGTGGTTTTTCAAAAATTGGTAACAGCGACATTGGATTTTTCTCTACTGTATCACATTTGTGTAGATCAGTTGTACAACCACCTTATGTTTTTCGGATAAGTTCTGAAACACTTATCAATTAATGAAAATACTTACTGCCAGTGACATTTCTGTATCTGTATAACAGATATTGCACTCGCCTAATATATCACATAATTGTTCGCTCTGAAATAAAATAGAGACTTTTAATATTAGTATGTTATAGTCATAGTCCGTCGATCAAAATGGTCGTATTAGAATTTTTACAATGTGTTCAAGGAAACTTGGTTATTTTGCATTCGTTAATTTGAAGCTTTTCTTCTTGTTAATTAGTTTAATTGAAGAATATCTTAATTCCATTTTCTCTAAAATAATTAACGATTTATCCAAAACTGATGGACACATTGTATATAAACGTAGGTCCAAAAATTTTTCCTAAGGAAGTTATAGCCACTTAAAGGGGCCACTATGATGGGTTTTTCTAAATAACTCCAAAACCAGTTGAGATAAATTTATGAAATTTCGTAACTAACTTAATTCTTATGTGCTCAGTCGACTAATATAATGAAATTTACAAATCATTACATACGTTCCAACACTGTGGGGAGGGGAAGGGGGGGAAGGGGTATTAAAATTTACCGTAACTTTTTTATACCTTGCCTTTTTTGACTTTTGACTGAAAAGTATGAAATTTCAGAGATTTTTATTGTACTGAATATATTGTGTTATTTGTATGAAAGACAAACAAGGCATCCTTCTATTGCAATGTTGGACACATAATGGCTTTGCACTATGTAGCGTCTCCATGTCAACCAACTATGATTACTACGCGCCAAAAAATATCTATAGTAGGATCGTATACGATGCAAAGTATAGCAAAAAATTGTCGGCGTTTTATCAAAGGAAAATCGTGTCATCATTTTTAGGAGGCGTAAGATAAATCATTTCAAATTTAAATTGAAATTCAATGTAAAATCTGAAATACCGCTGCATACGCACTGTGTTCTGGTAGTAACTGTAGTCGCCCAGGTGCATCGAGTGTACGGACTGGTCGGTTATACGTCAAATACTAACCTGGCGAGCTTTGCCGTCAATTAGAGAGCGCTTCCAAAAAACAAGTAAACAACAGTGGCGCGTACAGAGGTAAAATGTAGTACATATGTGGAATTTAGGAAACAAATTGGATTTATAATAAATTACATTTAAAATAAATAGTTTATGAGAATAAAGGAATTTTTGTAGGAACAAGGGTGCCAGACCTGAACTGATCCCCTCGTCCCTTCATAATGTATAAAGAAATTATTCAATTTGTAAAACCCTTAAA